AATTAATTAGTTCATTATACTTGATCTTTTAATTTGTATCTATTTGCTTGGAGCTGTATTGATAGTATTTTCTTCAGTAAATTATTGCTACTTATATTTGATAAACTAACGCTATTAAGGTCAAAATACAATTAATTCTTAAATTTCGTCGTGTGTAAACTTTGTCATTTGGAGCTGATATACCCTTGTTAGAAAGTGGCTCACACTACAATAAAAATGATCATTAGCGAAATTTAATTCTTAATTGCCGTTAAATATGTATTTTTAGTGGCAATTGTCACTCTTTATATATGTCCCTAAAGCCTTTAGCGATATAGGTTCTAATGACACTTAATTAATGTCAATAAAGACTTTAGCACTCTTAATTAGCGTCAATATTTAATGCCGCTAAAAGTTATTTTTGTTGTAGTGTCATATATGCCCTTGTCGTTATACAAACGACTCACATATACTCCTGCCGTTACAAAATGAGCTCAGATATACCCTTCATTTAACGGAAGTTAAAAAATTAGTTCTAAATTTATATTTTTACTTTTAATTTTTTTAAAAATTATTTAGGGGTAAATATGATTCTTCAATTAGTTCTAAATTTATATTTTGCACTAGGTGTTCAGTACTTATATTGAAGTTCAATTATTTTGAATTTGTGCCATATAGGAGCCCACTCGGAGCTAAATAGTCTCTATCAAAGAATTTTCTATGCCCAAAACTCGAACCCCAGACATCTGATCAAGAAACAGAAAAGGCTCATTTGCACCACATCCTTGATAGTAATCTCTAGACTCTTAATAAGTTATATGGTTTCCTAGGAAACCTCGGATCTGCTGCAATATTTCAGAATACCCATATCTCATATCTGGTTAGCCCATTATTATGTTACCATACGTTATACCCATTTCCTTCATCATTTCATCCCCAATCGAATGCAAGATATGATAAGATAAGAGGTTTCATAAATACACCTAGCTAATTTATATACTATCAATTATTTAATTCTCTTTTGTGTGCTGCTTTTCTATATAAATATATATATGAATGAAAAATAGAAATTATATGTCATGCACATAGAAGTCTGGAGCTGTCAGCTAAGCCTTATAATTGACTTCACTGGCCCCTTCAAAACATCAAGAGCTCAATTTCATTTTCATTATACTATTTTATAATATATACAGAAACATTCTAAAAATTTTATGTTTATGAATTTCAAATTATCTTTAGCTTACTTAGTTCCGTATGAATTATTTGTATATGTTCAGTAGATTCCTAAAACAAATATGTACGTAGTTTTGATTGAAACTATTATATAATGCTATCAAATGTGAACTAGAATTCTAGCTTCGCTTCTGCCAACGTTTCGTATTATCTTATTTCTTTGTTGATGTGAGGACAACCTCTTTTATCTACTTCGTTTCTTTTGGTAGCTAATAATAGATTGTGTTTTTCTTTTACTTCGTTTAAAGCTTTAGCTTTTCTTTCTTTTCATATTTTTTTTGTGTTTCCAATAACATATCTTACCCATGTTTTCACATGGACAAATGGTGCATGAAAACAAAATCATTACTGTGTGGTGGTACATTGTATGTGGTCTTTGTTATCAATATATTTAAAATATATTCAAGAATACAAAGGGGGCAGGGTGTGGGTTGTGGGGGGTGGGGTGGAAGAATTAATAATATAGAATAACAAGTAGTAATAATTAAATAAATTGGTATATAGGCTGGGGATATATGTGCTAGTGGTACAAGGCGGTAGTTTTCCGTTAATTTAGCCCACAATAGAAAACGATAGAAGAATAGAGATTGAGGAAGACACACAAAATGGCCCCATTCCTCTTATTGGTTTTGGTGTAAGCTCTATGTGTGAGAGAGAAAAAAACTAATAATCAAAATCACTATAATAAAAATAAAAGAAAAAATGTTATTTCTATAAATTAAAAAGTTTTATAAAAAGACATCTGATTAAAAATAGATGAATTCTAACTATTCTATCACACTCCGTTCCGTTTAGAGTAAGTTTGTGGCTTTTAGAATAGAAGTGTGGCCCAGTAGTGGCCATTTGAGGATAATGGTAGTAGCCTTCATCCTCTCTGGACTAATATTAATTCAACCAATATATATACATGGGGGTACCACTATATCCTCCATGCACCTTTCTAAATGATTTGCTTTTTACTATTAAAGATAAGGATCAATAACTTTAATTTTAAGTCTGCAAAACTTGGTGATTTATCAAGTTTTTAATCATATGCTTGCTGTTTATATTAAGTTGATTCATGGTCCATAGATGGTTAACAACAAAAGCACATGTACGTAGCGTTGTAGTCAAACAATAATTTTGACAAGAGACCAATCTTATTATGATTTCCAAGATAATTTTTCTAACTAATTAAAATAATTCCTTTTTCTTTCCTTTCTCTTTCTGTCAGTTTCTCATAAGAAATTGACCAATACCTAGAAACATATAAAAATTAGTTAATAATTTCTAGTTAATCCGTCGCTAATTCCCTTTTTTCTTCTAATAGTGAATTCTTCATCCTTTATCAACTTTCCTAACTTATTAAAATAGACTCACACTGGTGTGGTGTGTCTGATGAACTGAGAGAAGTTTCGAGTGCTTTCTAAATTATAAATATGAAGCTGGTAATTATTAGCTAATAAAAATTAAACAAAGAACAGAAACCACATACTTTTAACATAAATTACCATATATCCCTTATAAGTTTATAATTATAGAAATCCCTCAAACTGATTCAATAATATAAGCGCGGATACATTAATCTGATATGCAAGATACATTAATCGTTAAGATAGATTACATTTTATATATGATTAAATTAATCTGATGTACATTTTATACATGATACACTAATCTGATGTGTGAGATACATTAATAAAAAATGAGGAATTTTGGAGATTTATAAAACTAAGAGGGAATAATGATAATAAGAGAACTTAAAGGTGAATTTTTGTCATTTTTTCGTAAAAATATGCTAATTAAGTAGTATATCTTAAACAGAAACTTATTTTTAAGGCAATATACCACTTGATGTCCACACATATAGTGATGTTGTGATATCAACAGCAAGTAGAGGTTATTGAGTAGTCTCTTTTGCTGAAATAAACGCATTGCTAGCTAGCTAACATGATTTAACATTTGCAGCCATAGTTGACCCAACTGCTTGGTAGTTAATAGTACTAAACGCAAACAGAAAATATTTTGATCAAATAAACCTCACATGAAATAATTACTTAAAAAACAAGATACAATTATTGCTTGTGAAAGCAAAATTAGGATATTAATTAAAGGGAAAAGAGTCAGTGGTCACAAAATTCATAGAAAGCTAAATGAAAATGAAACAAAATCTTTCTTCGATTATGTTGTCTCTTGATAGTGATAGCAATAGAAAATCTGTCCAGACCACACCCCCCCGCCCCACCCATCCACCCAAAAAAAAAAACTTTTTTAGTGGTCCTCCATCACACTATCCAGATTAATTCTTATATTATGTTATCTATTAAAATGTCATCTAACTACCTTTTTGGAAACTTTTGTGTTTGATTAATTATAAATGACCTACAAAATACTCAATTATTACTAATGAATCACCCGTGACTATCTAATTATCCCTTTTTCTGTTACCAATCAAGTTGGAATACCTAATTGGAGTTTTAACATAATGGTAATCACACATATCATCATATCTTGTGGACTGTGGATTAAGTAAGGCTCTCACAAGGTTAAATACAAGAATATTTTCTTTAGAATTTATATATTATCTATGCCGTATTTAGTTATATTTATGTGTTAGTTGTTATGCATAAATAGGTTTCTTCATTAACTTATACTACTTGCTGTAGTTATGCAATTTTTAAATTGCAGATCAAACAACTTCTTAATGATACATAACTTACTTTCTTATCAAGTACCAAACATGATATTATTTACATAGAATTTAGTACTAACATAACTCACTTTCAAATCGCTACCAATCTGCTATTTCATAACTCACCTTCAAAATTGTTTGATGACTAAGAAGTTGCAATCCAAATTATAATAAAAATATCTAATTAAAGTTTTCACCCTTTTTACAAATCAAACTTTTGATGACCCTACTCTTTTTTATGTGTGCTTTAACCAAAAAGAGGTGGAAGAGAAACGAGCTACACACATCTAGGTTCTAGGTACTTCCGCGGTTCGCAAGAAGGAAAACGAACATTGCATCAAAGATTTTAAATTTTACCTTCTAGTGTTAGTTTACTTAAAATTCTATTTCAAAATTTGTTTAATTTTTTTCCCTTTAGAAATTACTCCTTTTAAATTACTATTGTTTGTCAAGATAAAATATTTAAAAAATCTTTATGACTAATATAACTACTGCTAATCATTATTAAAATAGTCTGTACAACTATTTTAATATATCAGTCAAATAACAGTGGATGAAGAAAGTAAAAAATTAAAAAAAAAGAAATTCTATTTTTGGCAACGGACAACCCCCTAATATCTGAGATTCTGCTGTTACGGTATTTAATATAGCATGAGAGAGGTGTTTCTCAAACTTTGAGGTACCAAACACCAATCGCACAGAATTCTGAAAACCCCGTTATCCCGTTTTTTAGGCTGGTGTCCACCTCATCCTTCTGACATGTCACCTTTGATGGGTCCATTGATTTACACGTATCAGTGGGAGACCCAATTGAATACTATTCTCACTTCTCATTTCAGGCCCAAAAAAAGCTCTCTCAAACTTTACCTTCTCGCGGGACAGTCTCACGTGGTTAGTCATGTCTACCTGGGCCCACTTTGGTATTGGTATAGTTACGTTCCATGACCCCTGCCCCACTTAAAAGTCGAACTAAATTAAAATTATGTATTTTCCTCTAAATATTTAGCAACACAGTTTCTGTCATGTACATTAATATATGACGTTATATATTCAGTTAAATAAAAAAAAGTAAATACAATTTGGCATCCTTTTGTCATACTTATTTAAACCCCACTTTCCTAATACCTCTAAGCTTCACGCATTATACTCTCTTCTTTCTCTCACACACACTAACAGAAAAAGGAAAAGATAGAACAACACAATTTCTTCTATTCTAAAGTTGTATTCATAGTACTTGAAGCGAAATAAAGAGGGAGTTGGTTCAAGAGGACGTAACAAATAAGGAACGCGTTAGGAAGCTACCTAATATTTTCTTTTCTAGTGCAATTTTGAATCGCCTTTGTTACTTTCCGCAAAGTGACAGTAGCAGCTTTTTCTTCTCTTAAACTCTTTCTGAAAAAAGGATCTCTATTATTGATGAATATTGCATTACCAGAAATGCTACATAACATCACTAGCAATGGAAGCTCAGAATTGAGCGTGCTTGATAGAACGAAATGGCAGGTGCAGCAACAAGAGATGAGTTATTTTAATGGACAAAATGATCAACTCATGAATTCTTTTCATCAAACGGCTGAAGCTCAACAATTTCATGGTCTGATCAATGTAAACGATCAGAGTCTTAATGAGCTTGTGACTCGGGCAATAAAGCCAGACCCCTGTATGGAGAACAGTTGGGGTGGTTTTGGGACCACTGGTACTAATGGTTTTGATTATGTTCCAGTTGGAGTTGGACACGGAGGAATGTCACACCCATCTGAAATGAACTATGCTATTTCAAGAACTACAAGTTGCCCGCCTACCATGGCGGACAATGTTGTTAAACCCAAAGACACTAGGCTGAGTTCTAACAGAGGCAGAGAGAGCTTCAAGAAAAGGAAAGCAGATAAGAATCAGCATCTCAAGGTATGTTCAACTCAAACTCAAACTGTCTCTCTATCCTGCATTTCGGTGTGGTTGAGGCATAAATAGTTAAGTAATTCAACGCGTGCTTATTCTAAGAGTGTCTAGATAGATAGATAGTCACGCACCTCAACAAGAAATTAGAATAGTCAAAGGTTTAGAGTTCAACTCTCACAAGCCACCCAAAAAGATTAAAAAAAAACCTACTTTCATATAAAGAATTAGATCCACATCTCACGTCTTGATATATAATATAATTATGTAATTAAAAATATGCAATTAGATTTATCGTTTGTACCAGTTGTTCACACAATTCAACAGTCCTGTAAGCTATAGTTGGTGAACATTTTTCAGGAGGTTGCAGAAGAGGAAACCAAAGACAAGAAATTGAAAGAATGCATCGAAGAGGAGGATGATTCTTCCAAGGTAACAACAGAGAAAAAAAGCAACAAAAGGAGTGCGACTAACAGTAGCAACAGTAAGGAAAATTCTGATACTTCAAAGGAGAAGTCCAAAATTACCGATGATAAAAAGCTCGACTATATACATGTCAGAGCACGTCGAGGTCAAGCCACTGATAGTCACAGTTTGGCTGAAAGAGTGAGTTGCAAACTTGGTCCAAGTGTTCTTTACTAATCATCAGTAATATTTTACTCTAACAAACAACTTAACCAGCAAGTTAATTCATATTTTTGGCAGGTAAGAAGGGAAAAGATCAGTGAGAGAATGAGATTCCTGCAAGATTTAGTACCAGGTTGTAACAAGATAACAGGGAAAGCAGGAATGCTAGATGAAATAATCAACTACGTCCAATCTCTCCAAAGACAAGTAGAGGTAAAAAAGATCTAAAAAAACAATAGTCCTCTAGGTACTTGAGTTGTTGCTAGAAAAATTATGATTGAGATTCTCTATTTGACAATTCATTATCATGACAGTTCCTATCCATGAAACTAGCTGCTGTTAATCCAAGGCTTGATATCGATGCAGACAATTTCTTCAACAAAGATGTAAGGGAACATCATATCAAGAAATTATTTCGTTCTTCAGAATAAAATTATGTTCTTACTTCACATTTACTTCTCCAGATATTTGCAACTAGCACGTCTACTTTTTCCGCAGTGGGAGCTGGAACATCATCTGAAATGCTTAGTATGGCCCAACGCCAGTTCAATTCATTGCAGCAAATAATGTCAAGTTCTGGATTAGAAATGGGTATTGTAAATCTAAACGAAATGGCACTACGTAGAACCACTAGCGCTCCTGTACCAATTCCTGAAATGTTTCTCGACTCATCAAGTATCAATGTAATCAATTGAACCAATCTTAGTCAATAAACAGTTAATTTCCTTCTCTCTTTTTTCTCTTTCAATTTGCTAAAGAAAAGTTTCATTCAACATACAGCAAGTTCAGAGCTTTCAAACTTGGAACACTGATTTAGATAACATGTATGCAATGGAGCTTCAACAAGGAAGATCAGCACAGTTTCTTCCCCATCCGTGTACAGGTATGCACAAGTGACATGTCTAGTCAATATTTCTATCCTGTCTATGATGCTTCACCAATAAGAAGATAAAAAATCAATTAAGGTGGGTGTTACTTTCCATGTTAGAGACCCAGAACCTATCATATTGCTTCAAGAATAGTTGGGTCCTCTTTGATTTATACTCCTGTTGAAAAAGGATGCTGATTAGGTATCTTCCCTTTATTTCTGTCTTCCACCTTAAATGATCAAAACTGTGTTACTTTTGCACATCGAAAAATTCCCCCAAGTAGTTGATTGATAGGCAGGTACTAACCATCCAACAAAAATGATCAGCTATTATTCAACTACATTATTAAGATTTCGAGTCTTTGGAGGGCCCTATTTTTCCTTTTTTTTATTTTTTATAACAGTTGTATCTGGGCAATTAGCGTGCTCTTCAACTATTCCACGAGTATCCACCAATTACTATCACCCACATATCGGGTAATTACTAACCAACAAGTCGTACGCATATTGAAAGAAATCAGTAAGTGTTCTTTCTGCCTGTACTGAATTTGAACCTTTGTCCACACTTAAAGGGACCTATGGCCCTTATCAATCTGAAATTTAACACCAACACCAGAATAATCGCAGTTAGGCTTTTGTTCAAGTATTGAAGTTTAAAAATGACCACTGTGCAGGTTTTGCTGAAGCTGGACATGACCTGAAGATGGAAATGTGACCTTATAATTCTAGACATATTCAAGATCCTTGATATGACTTCACCTCAGATGTCATGGATCCTGATTCTTTTTTTCCAAGTACATAACATAGTATATTATGTAAGTAAATGTTGCAGTTCAAGAGTATCAAAGCAATACTATGACACTGTTCATTGGAAATCATATCTTCTCTATCACAGTTGATCAAAACACAATTGCAGCCAATAGAATAAAGAAGCTAGAAAAGAAGTTTAAAATTTTGGAAAATTGTATATACATAAATCTAATTTCCATCTATATATATTATATATAGAGGCACACAAAATCAATTCCTGGAGATGTAAATGAAAGAAACTGCATCAGAACAGAAGCGCAAAATTTGTTCCTTTTTTCAAAACCAAGAAATCCCCGAGGAAAAGTGTCGAGCGCGAAATTTGAATCTCAGAAGTAATTTGTTTGGACATGAAATTATCACAATGTTGCAACATAAATCAGCTGAAATCTCTCAACCAGACCATTAGCTTAATTACTTTTCCTATTACTCTAAATAAAATGAGAAGTACTTCGTAAGACATCTATATTTATCTATTTACTGTCATTTATGATACCTAATTGGTCAGTGTTCATATAACCAACTAGACCCCATCTTATTTGACACTAAGAAGTAGTTGTTGTTACAGTAGTATTGTAATTTACATTTGTAATCAATAAAAACTGCTTATGATTATATTATTTTCCACTTAAGCATAAAATTTGCAAACATTGATTATTAAGGGTCATACTCATCAAGTGGCACAAGCTGTTACTCCTTTTGACTATTACCTGAATGGAGATATTGAGCACTCCATCTCCATGACTATACTGAAAGGAAGCCAAAAGAATACCATAGTGGCTACCCTAGTTGCTTTTTGGGTAGAATAAGACATGTCGATAAAGACCTAGAGAAAAAATGCTTTTTTTTTCTCTTTCAAAATAATTGGTGATATTGAGACATCTAAACCACTAGTTATTAGGATTGATTCCTTCTCTATTACAAAAGAAATAGAAAACGAGTCGCTAATCATATGGAAGCTCATACTCATATCACAGAATTAAAATACACTTTGTAATTAGAGCATCATTATATTTCACATCAGTCTGTCAAATATTGTTTTAATCGGTTGGACAAAGAAATAAGAAGTTTATGTGGTTTATACCAGGGATTGAAAGATATTCAAAATCATATCCAAGTTCCACTGACAGCATGCATGGAGATGCCATATTGGTGGCTTTGAATACAAAAAGAATGGTTTCCGGTAGATTATCATTAAGAAAACTAGAAGTAGTGACTGCTTGCCATGTAATCTAACTCATTACTCCACTCCACCAGTGAGGGAGTTTCTTTTTCTCTATATTCTTTTTTTGTGCTCGCATCTTCCTTCTTTTTTTGGTTGAAGGGAGAGGGGTTGCAAGACCTTCTTGTTGTTTTTAATCTCTCATTCAGCATAATGGAATATAGTCTCCATTATGTTCAGGAGGGTATCTTTTTATTTTTGATGGTTCAGAGCAAATCAGAGGCATTCATCCGAGACCAGGCAGCACACTATTGGGCCTAGTGTATGTCATCTTGTGCCTTTCGCCATTATTTCTTTGTTCTAAAACAACTGCTTACCTTAACTTTCAGTGAACAAGGGGGACCTGGCCTCTTCTGCAGACAAAATCTACTGGATTCTTCTTGCCGGAATAGATGCTGAAAGATGGTGTTACTTGTTATCTTTCAGGACCCACTAAGGCTACGATATGTTGATGTGGTAGTTATACAGCCTAGCGCTCTACCACCTTAATAACTAGCTTTTGGGGTGTGGTTCTCCCAGGATTGTCTCGACATTATCAGGAGCTAGTTACCACCTACCGTGCCATGGATGTTGACATCAGTATTGCAATGCCCACTCGGGGCTAGAAACATCTAGCGCACAGCTCATGACAGATTCTTAGACACCTGACTAAAAAATGGCTACCTTGGAAAGAGCTATTTACTTGTGGTAGAGGGAAAGTGTAGAGCCGTCGAGGACGACGGATGCAGAACGTTGTAGTTTATTATGGTCCATTGTAAGAAATGGGACTTGAGTCCCGACCCGTATTGCAATGTGCTAATGTGGGCTTTATATAGCCTTGGGCTATCCCATCTCAACAGGTAGCTTTTGGTTTGTGGTTCTTCCTAGGTAGTATCAATTTAAATCTTCACAAAGGGCCAAGTGTGTGCCACGAGTGCTCTGTCTTTGAAAAGGCAGAATGCTGTTATAGAATCCGCTATATTTGGAATAGAATCATTGTTTCCTAGAAATCTAAGATGGTTCTCATAATTTCTGGTGTACAGTACAGCACACTTGAACCAACAATTTTACATAACATTGATGTTTATGCCCTTTCCCCAGCTCTCAACTTCTTAAAGAATCCCTCTAGAATCTATGAACATAAGAGGCACTCATTAGAGGGAGATGACAGACATACTTACATAAACTCTTGAGTGAAGAAGAGGACAGGAACATTGAGCTTGGTAATTAGGAGCACTTCGAGAGACATCGAAATATTGGATACTGTAGAAGTATTAAAATTGAGGAGGTTAAGGGTGCTATTCATAGCATGAGCAGGGGAAAAGTGACTGAACTAGACATGATTTTGGTGGAGTTTTGAAAGAATCCTTCTAATGGAGCTAAGGATTCAGATCTTGAATTTTGCTTTTCCTGCTTATATGATTCTTGGGTCTATATGAGATGTCTTACGTCTTCATTACAGAAATTGTTAAAGTATTCCAGCACAAATGGTAAGTCATCAATCTCTAAGGAACATTATCCAAAGTGTATATAGATGAGTTTTGTCACTGCTATCAGCAACTTTTCACAATATAAATTGGTATTATAAACAAACTTAAATACTGAAGACCTAAAATAAGCACAATTTAAAACCAGATAAAAATACTTTACATCAATGATAGCATAAGCTTTTTATATAATCACGGACATTATAAAGGAAGAACCTGCCACTAGTAATACAGCTGCTGCCATTATATCATACCAATCAGCATTACTTGGATGGACATCAATTCAGAGTAAGTTCCTCAAACTTTGAAAGCTCGATTAAATCACAGAGACTTCCCCAGCTTCTGTTGTGGCAATAATTTGGACTAGTTTAGATTTTTGCTACGATTCATATTAGAAAAAGAAAATACAAACCAATACTAAAGGACAGAATTGTGTAAACATTATACCTTTTCCAGGAACTATGATGACCGGTGCTATCTTACAGTTGTGTAAGCAATACTCAGCGACACTTCCTTGCAGTACACTAATGGGAAATTAACCAGGAAAATCAGTAATCGACTTAACAACCAATTAGTAACCAATGCGTACACAGGTCTCTGTGTGTGTGTGTGTGTGTGAGAGAGAGAGAGAGAGAGAGAAAGACCTTTGAATTATGCCACGTCCCCTGGTTCCCATAACCACAGCTGAAGGCTTCAACCTTTCTGCTTCCTTGCAAATTACCTTTCCAGCATCTCCTTCCACAATCCTAGCCACTGTCTTCACCTATTTCAACATGAATACAAAGAACTGAGTGTACTGTGTTATCAACTTCTAGAAATTATACCTATGAAACCAGAACTATAGAGATTATTGGTTTACATGTGGTCAAGCTCAATGAAACCAAGTTCAAATTCAATAAAACCAACAATTACAAACTTTCTCGGGGTTTATAGTACATTCTTTTGTGATGAAAAAGGTCTTCTTGTTACACGGCTTAAGGCTTTAAAATGAAAAAAATATATATCAAGTGGAAGATCAGCAAGAAAAATATCTCTCTAGTAGAACTGGAAATGCATATGTTACATATGCCATGAGAATATTTCTAATGTGCTAGCAGAACTAAACTTGCACATATGTCAATTGTCAACAAAACTATAAACAAACAAAATGGAGAAAACTCATGAAGATACTGTTGCATAACAAATAAAAACTTGCAAGAAATAGCATATCATGTGAAATAACTAAGAAAAATAATTAGAAAATTAAAGACACATGTATCATTCAAGCAACAACTAGATTAATTTCTGACATTCCTCAAGCCCTCAGGGTCCGTCCCAGTCAGGGACATAAGCCTTTGGAACATGATGTCTTATGACTGCTAATCAAATTCTAGACTTATAAAAATAGAAACTATAGGCTAAAAAACAATGGGTAACAGGTTGGGCACCTGACTAGAATCAACTCTCACACGCAGCCTATTTCATGGTATATGATTATGAAAACTTACATGCATGTTAAATAAATCCATCAAACCATTTGAAGCATGGTATTTTCCAGCAGAGTAAAGCTATATATGAGCAGCTAAAACTTGAGAAGCAATGATCATGATGAAAACCCGTTCAGATGAAGACCAGTAAATCAATTTGTAATGAAACATGTTAAAGTTTGCTTCTGATTAACAGTTATATATATATTTCCTAACATGAATTATTCCTTATTCAAGCAACTGAATGTCCTTAAATATTCAAAGGAACAATTGTTTCTTATGTTAATTACACGAAGTCCTTAAATATTCATCTTCAAGAATTTTGCAGCATGTACCTTCCATGTTGCGAGGGAAAATGGTGTCTCTTTAATCTTTTGAGAACCTTTGATATTCAAAATTCAAATGTGAGATGGTTCATTTTTTCCAGAAAATGTTTTGGCGGTATGTAACGACGCCTTAGATATTACAACACAGTTATGAGAGAAGTAGATTGATTTTAGTGATTACATTAATCAGATTGAGGAATGTAGTTGTGAGAATGGTCGCGGGTAATCACTTTTGTTAATTGCATTATGCTAATAATTTTTATCATATATGATAATTAATACAAACATTACTATATAATGGCCAAGGTACAACCGGAAACATTTATCAATCCAATTGGAGAATCCAACTAATGTTTTAATTATACAGAGTAAATGCAGATTTTAATAGATTATCCAAATACCTAATAGTTAATACACAGTACATAATTACTTACTGTAAGACCAAAGAGAGACTAACCATAGCAACCGAAAAAGCCTCAACAGCAAGCTTCTCCATGAGTCCTTGCGTAGCCTCATAAACTATCTCATTTTTCAGACCTGAACAAAATTAGCAACAAATAGAGTTGTATATTAACACTTATTATTAAGATCAATTGATTAAAACGGAGATGCAAACTTACTGGAGACGGCGTGAACGAGATGAAGCGTATCGGCGAGACGGCAAAGGTGAGTAACGGCCCAATCAAAAGCGTGTTTGCTATTAGGACCGTGATCTATAGCGATCACTATATCACGGCCGCGACGCCGTTCGCCGGTTTCCCTATCGAGCTCCGGCTCCGGCACTATGGGTATGAGAGAA